AATGCGTACGCAGTACGTTCAGGAACTTTACAACCGTAGAAGTTTCCGAGCAGTAACGCTACCATGGTGGTTAGAATCACCACAAAGTGATGTAAAAGCGGCTAGCAAAGTTAACAAGGTTTCGATCAGACCCAGTGTCACGAGAATGATATCGAGCTTGTATTAATTGGATCTCGTGGCTGAATCTAGCAAAGATAATTCTCGTATCGAGAGTGTCTAATTAAATTATACCGAAGTCGATTAATTTGCTCTTCGAGCACGCTCTCATTTATGCTGCATTTTTGACCTAACACCGTCGCGTTGCATTTTTGATCCAATATTTTACAACTGTGCTGCATTTTTTATATAAAATTTTGCAGCTGTGTTGCAGTTCAGCTATGTCGCTAATTTTGCAGTTTTAACACAATATTTTACAGTGTTGCATTTTTTACTTGACATTTCATGTTACATTTTTAACGACTGTCCTCGAAATAATTTTAGAAAATAATACGTTACGTTTCTCATGCATGTTTTTATCGACACCACTTCAGAAAATTATATTTAATTTAACGAAATCAGTGATAGCGACGAGATTATCGAGCAACACTTCAGAAGATATCTTCGAGGAAATCGCGGTTTCACCTTCAGAAGCCTATTTCTGGTCTTCGAGCGATTCCCGGTGCAAAATATCGCGTTTATTACATCTCTGGGTTTGACATTCATTTCCCTTCGTCCTTGATTTTTTTACCTTCGAAAGGGCGATAAAAATTATATACATTTCTAGATAATTATAACAATGCCTACAGCTCTATTACGTTCTACGATATCTGTGCACAGAATAAATTATTTGTAACAACTGCATTTAAGATAAAATTGTAAGAAAAACAGTAATGCTCCCAATTCTTCAAGCGTGTATACTCGAAGAGAGGTAAGTTTCGCATTCGCGAATATACCGGCTGCTATTTAGACGAGAAGATGCTCGATGGTGATAGGAGAGATTTATTACTGTTGGCGTAAGAACTTTGCAGGATACTGCTGTTCCAGCTAGTAAAACGCTTTATAACACTGACTGTTAGTTTTAAATTTTGTAATGAGGTAAATTCTACGTGGGAGGGGCGACTGGACGGTTGAATGTCTGAGAACTGTGATCAATTAGAAAACTCTTATAATACACAACGAGCGCAGCTGTGCATACAGCTAAGGTTGGACGGATTTCATTCTAGCGAACAAACAATGTAGTAGCTAAGTTACACGGGTATTCAGTGAATATTCAATATTGATTTTCTTGAAAACAAAATCTCGCATTCATGCTACCGCTGTGGCCCGTTTCTACGCATCTGGTTTGTTTCAAAAGTAACGAGATTGCCTGTTTTTGAACTGGATAGCTGCTGAAATATGTCGTCTTCAAACCTTATTAATTTGCCAATTCTTCTGGTTAGAAAGAAAATCTATGCGTAGTATTTCCACGCACCGTAATTCCATGCGCTGTAATTCCACGCGCCATAATTCCACGCGCAGTGTTTCGACGCGCTGTAATTCCACGCACTGTAATTCCACGCGCCATAATTCCACGCGCAGTGTTTCGACGCACTGTAATTCCATGCGTGGTGTTTCCACGCACCGTAATTCCACGCGTGGTGTCTCTACGCGTAGTGTCTCCACGCACCGTAATTCCACGCGTGGTGTTTCCACGCACTGTAATTCGACGCACCATAATTCCACGCGCTGTAATTCCACGCACTGTAATTTCACGCGCCATAATTCTACGCGTGGTGTTTCTACGCACTGTAATTCCACGCGTGGTGTTTCCACGCACCGTAATTCCACGCGTGGTGTCTCTACGCGTAGTGTCTCCACACGCGCCATAAATCCACGCGTGGTGTTTCCACGCATTGTAATTCCACGCGTGGTGTTTCCACGCACCGTAATTCCACGCGTGGTGTCTCTACGCGTAGTGTTTCCACGCAGCGTAATTCCACGCGTAGTGTTTCCACGCTCGATATGTCCATACGCCGTAATTCCATGCGTGGTATCTCTACGCGTAGTATTTCTACGCGTCGTACTTCCACGCGTGGTGTCTCCACGCGCCGTATTTCTACGCGTCGTACTTCCATGCGTGGTGTTTCCACGCGCCGTATTTCTACGCGTCGTACTTCCACGCGTGGTGTCTCCACGCGCCGTATTTCTACGCGTCGTACTTCCATGCGTGGTGTTTCCACGCGCCGTATTTCTACGCGTCGTACTTCCACGCGTGGTGTCTCCGCGCGCCGTATTTCCACGCGCCGTATTTCTACGCGTCGTACTTCCACGCGTGGTGTCTCCACGCGCCGTATTTCTACGCGTAGTACCTCCACGCGCCATAATTCCCCGCATAGTGTCTCCACGCGCCATGCACTCACCATTGTACGCGTTATATTTTCACACGAGTACTTTCAATAACACTACAGTAGAATAGTAAAATAGTAGAATAGTCACTTCCCACTAATCCTCAGATAATCAACAATGTCGACATACCTTCACTCCCTCCAATTCGTTTTTTTCTACCGATTGCTCCTTTCCTTTTGCATTTGAAATTCTTCACTTTTCATTTCCATTCCTCCAGGTCGTTTAATTCCTGCAGCTTTCTTATTCCTCCCGTATTTCTTGTTGTTTCTCGAGTTTATCTTCATTTATTCGTTTCCATTTTCTCTCCGTAGAATCATCCTCTTCGCAGTTACACTTATACACATCTTTTACCTTTTATTTGCATCCCATTTACCTTCACCAGTCTTTTTCTTGTTCGTATACAGGTGCAGCCCCTTACCACATTCTACCGTTGCTTTTCCATCTTCATTTCTGGAGAGGAGATTCAGGGTAGTATTTCTTAACGCGTAGGATAAAACTCGGCCAGTATATGCGCGTTACGGAAGCTTCATGTTTATTTTCGTGCTCCACGATTCTCGATGAAAATAAGAATTTTAAGGGTGGGAAGAACGGAGGGAAAATAAAGGAGAGTTCTTTATCGGTGCTGTCTAGCACTTTTAGTAGCAAGATAGGTCTTTGATTAAGAATAAAGTTTCCTGTTGTCTATTATGTGCGACAATCGGTCCTTCTTTCGTCGGTCAAAGCGATATCAACCTACGATAATCAAATTGAAACCCTGTGACCAAGAAACAGCACTGATATCGACCAAAGGCTAAACTGTCTTTCCACCACGAACACTGGTTCAAACAACCTGACCACCGTCGGGTCAATAGGAACGGGTTCGAGGATTGTGTTTCCGTCTCCGCAGCATCCACCATGCCGGCCACGTGGTCACAAATCGCATTCCGGATTGAAAATCGAAGGCCACGTGTTTCGTGTCGGAAACGTCTCAATTATAAGCAATTACTAAATTCTAAATTCCAAGGTTCCAAATTCTCAAAACAAAAAAATTAAAATTCTCCAGTTTTTAAATTTGTGAGCTTACAAATTTTTTACAAGACCACGCTGTAATTATTTGTACGTCTACAGATAACGGTGACCGAATTTCCGGAGCCGATGGCAAAGTATTAATTAACGCGGGCCGGTAGACGGCCCAGATCGATGTCTTTTGGAGGAGGAATTTTAAAAAGGTCTGCTCGTTAATGAAATTTTATAAACACGGACGAAGAACAGAAGGGTATCGGATGGAAGAATGCGATATACAATCGCGTTTAATTAAACGAACTCCGCGTCCCAACGTCACTTTGTGCGTTAACAATGCAAGTATTAATTAATAATCCAAGCAAGAAGCGACTGTTTCTGTTTGAATTTTCACGGCGCGGAGATCGAGCCACTTCAAACAAAGGATCCAACATCGCGAACGGTCCGCGAAAGATTCTGACGCGTACTTTTTATCACGCGCCAACAGCGCCCATGGAAAACACCCCTCGTCTCGTCCTTTTGTAACACATAATTAATATTCCTCGCAGTCACGTTAGCTGCTACACTTCGACAAAGCGGACCGGTCTAATGAATTTACCAGGCTTTCCAGCTCGCCAAAAGAAAAGCGATAAACACCAGACGTGTTAATTAATTTGTTAATTAGGAAAGGGGTTTCGACTGATACGATTTGTAATTTAGTCCTCCGTGTAGGACTACTTCAAATTCATATTTAAGGTTTTATCCCAGCGGGCACCTGAGATTTGGAAAGAAATAATTTTGGGACACTTCTAAGAGGTTATATTGCCAGTGCGTTATTTTGTAAAACATGTGAATTTGTTTGAATGTCCAATAAAATTTTACCGATGCATTTGTTTGATATTGAACCAAGAGCTAACTTATTAAGAGGTTAAACATATTGCCAGTGCGCTATTTTGTAAAACATGTAAATTTGTTTCAATGTCCAACAAAATTTTACCGATGCATTTGTTTGACAATGAACCAAGAGCTAACTTAGACCACTATGTTACTAAAATTAATGTCCAATAAAATTTCACCGATGCATTTGTTTGACAATGATCTATTGAACCAAGAGCTAACTTATTAAGAGGTTAAATATATTGCCAGTGCGTTATTTAGTAAAACATGTAAATTTGTTTCAATGTCCAACAAAATTTTACCGATGCATTTGTTTGACAATGAACCAAGAGCTAACTTAGACCACTATGTTACTAAAATTAATGTCCAATAAAATTTCACCGATGCATTTGTTTGACAATGATCTATTGAACCAAGAGCTAACTTATTAAGAGGTTAAATATATTGCCAGTGCGTTATTTAGTAAAACATGTAAATTTGTTTGAATGTCCAATAAAATTTTACCGATGCATTTATTTGACAATGAATCAAGAGCTAACTTAGACCGCTATGTTACTAAAATTAAAATTAGCAACGAATAGCATCACGAATAAGGGGTAGTAAAAAATAGGTGCAAGCAAATGAGCAATTATGCCGATAAAATCACGTTGCCCGATAAAAGTGGCAAGGTATGATTAGCGATTTGACGAGGAACGATCGCGAGCGTCGATCGATTCGGAATTAATCTCGAGTTCGAAGCACGACGTGAATTGGCGACTCACCTGAATGACAGTTGCCAGAGGACTTTTGTTGGCTGGATAGTCGAGGCTGTCCCGATGAGCCCAAGCCAACGGCTCGTAGGTGCTGTGATTGGCTTGAAAAATGGTCCAGTCACCGCCAGGAAGTGGTCCCCAGGCTGTTTCCCCGGATCTGGTTAATCGGAGAATAGGGGACGCTGCATTCAGCTGAGCATCCTGAGGGAGAAAAACCGATCTCATTTTGTCCGTTGTTGGAAAACTCGGACGTTGTCGACGCTACCATTCTACTGGCTCTACGTGTGCCTTTTTTCCTTCATTTACCCGCCAAAATCGAAAATTGCTTTTCCGTCTCCGTACCTCTCGTGTTACCAATTTTCAAACGTAAAACGACAAATTTGACGTATCAGCTTCAACGGAATAAATGATTCGTATTCTTAACACAAAATGGCTGGTTGCCAGTTTCGAACATGGAATGTTTTGTACGAATTGATGGCACAAATGATGCTCCCGAATCTGATACGCAACAGATGTTCTTTTCAAGACAAATTTTTTAATCATTGTCGAAAAACTTGCTTCAGTTGTCCAACAAAAGCTTCATATCCTGTCTAATAATTAAAAAATACCACAGATGTTCTTTACAAGACAAGCTTCTTATTCATCGCCGAAAAGACTTGTTCAACAAAAACTTCATTCATAAACTTCACTTGTAATAATTAAAAACTACCCCTAATATATGTATGCAAAAAATACACTTTTTAAGACAACCTCTTTTAAACCTCTTCGATTTACCAAAAACTTCATCAAACAACGAATCACGTCAAAGATCGTTGAAAAGTGTAAGCCCGAAGAAAAGTCTCAAGATATCAATGCAGATTGATACGAGACATTCCGTGAAACGTTAAGCGTCGTTGGTCGTATCGCGGTTCACAATAACGGTTTAAGATCGATGCTTTTATTGCCTCGTTTCAGACGAGCTTTCTTTCGCGGCGTCGTCGCAATTTTTCTGCGAAATAAAGTCGGGGCCGTTTCGTCACGGGAACGGAGATTGCCAATTCGAAGTTTCTCGCGATCGGAGCTTCCACCCCTTCGCCCGACACCAACCACCATCGTCCGAAATGTTCTATGGCGACGTGATGAAATTTATTTTCCGTCGACCAATAAAAACTGTGGCCATCGCGGACGAGTTTCATTCGAGGGAATCGCTCGTCACGCGATCTAGCAAGATATTCCAGAAGAGCGTCCCTTAACACCGATCGAATATATCGTTTCCTTTTCAAACTTTTCCAGGCGTGAAAAATTCTTGAGCTGTCTGTGATCAAATTTTGTAACAGGTATTTCTGTCAGAGTAAATTTCGAGAAATTTGCCTTAAATTCGAGAACGATACAGGAGGAGTGTATTTGTAGGTCAAGATACTTGATTACGGATCGAGTACGGAGGAGGAATCGCAATGAGATAGTGCTTTAAATAATTCCTGGAAATTCGCAACGCAAGGAAAATTTGAATCCTTCGAACAAATCTAGTATATTATTTTATATGCTATTTGCTTTTGAATATCGAATTATAATTCGTCAAATGAAGTTCACGCAGGGTGCGATTAAAATAAGAGTTTAAAACATATCTAAGTACCAATTGGTGAATGAAGCCACTGACCTTTAGTCGAAGGTTAGTGTGTACAAAAAGAGGAAAGCCTTTCAGTTGTGCACCGACTAGACTTTCTTCGCCAGAGGGCGCGAAACCAACGATGCCGACCGAGTACTCTCTGCAATATTTGTCCAGCAATTCCCGATTCCACTTGTCCATCTGCAGGTACTTGTTCAGGTTCTCGAAGATCAGAACTCCGTAACGACCTTTATCCAGGTTAGTCAGCACAGGTAAAGACTTGCCAGCCACTTCCAATTTATACCTGCAATCAAAGTTAATGCGAAATTAGTATACCTCGTTCAGGTTCCTCGAAATTCAAATTGTCAAATTTTTTAAGCACGAACTTGGTAAAGTACGTGGTCTCTCAAGGGTTATGACGTTAGTTAAAAACGTAAACTTTATAAATTACTGTTCATCAAAATATAGCTGATCGAGTAGTAACCGTAAATTTCTCATGGATGATTTTATCCGGCGTTCTCTAAATCGTAGGAAAAGTCTCTGTTATTAAATTCCGATGACGCGGCAAAGAAAACGGAACGAATTAAATAACTCTCGCAACTTCTGGGATAAACGATCAACTCGGATGAATCGATAAAACAAAAAGGAAGAAAAAAAAAAAGAAGAAATTCTCAAAGCTTTCACGGGCAATATCCGCGTGTCAACGATTCCCAAAGGCTCGCTAGCTCGGAGATTACGAGCAGCGGGACAAGAACTCCTCCTTAAATGTCTCTTCCGGCAAGGCTTTTTATTTTTCCTCGTGAGATTATGCAATAAAGCAGCCATTGCTGGGAGTTAACGTGTTCCGCGGAATGGAATAAAAGTTCTCTTTCTTTGGTTGCAACCCTCTCAACCCCTCTCCGGTGCAAATCTTTCGTCGCGAATATTTAGACTAGAACGACGATTCGCGGCGTTCACGAGTGCTCGATGCTCGTTACGACAATTTCAATCCGTCCCGGGTACACCGTATCGGTTATTTAAAACGGGGCCGGGGTAATAAATATAAGAAAAAATGGAATATCGATGGAAGAAGCGACGCGACCGACTCCCTCGGTCGTTATTGTTAAACGATAAAACAAGGATACTTTTATCGAACTCCCATTTACGCGGCATCCGAAACGTTTCGAGAATAATAAAGCAATTACACGTATAATGTGCTTTTTACATTTTATGCGGTTTTCCTATTCCCAACACCGTTCCGCCATCCTGCCGCAACCTCTTTCTCTCGATTCTTTATCCACGTTCGTTGTTCTTCTTCGATTTTTAATAACGTTTGAATTCGGTCTATCGAATCGTTCGACTATACGGACGCCTATTCGAATGCCAGAACATTTTTATTCGTGCACGCGTGCTTTTTATTCGTTTCTCTGCCCGATAAAACGACTTTATCGACGAAATAAACCGTCGGAGTTTGTCGATCGAAGGGTCACAGATTTTTCGCCCACCCGAATTTATGCGAGCCACGAAATATTGCAGATTGTATACGATAACGTACCAAACGATTCTTGCTAACCACGATACTTTTACTATCGTTTGTCGGTACTTGGAATCGGTGATGAATGTTAAGGGAGGATCCTGCTTTAGGAGCCCTAAAAAGAGCGTTTTTTAGGGAATTTTTTTAGGACAGAAAAAAAAAAGGTGACCCTAGTGAACTTTTTAGATTATTTTACTACATGTTTGAAGAAGAAAAAAACAATTTTTGTACAGAAAAATATTCAAACGCAGCCGATTTTTATGCACATCTGTGCAACGCCTTTCAATTGCAGTCTCCAATCGGCGGGAAAGATGCAGTTCGTAATTTTCGTCTGAAATTAAAAAACCAAAGAGAATTCTAATTTTCATAGTCTTTCCTTCTATTTGAACTAAGAAAAACCAAAAACATTGTGAAATTGTAAAATTTTCTCAGGTTTGAAGAAAATTTCCTTTTTTTGAAAAAAAAAAAAATTGTTTCAACTTGCTAAAAAAGTTGTTTAAAAATATTTTTCGTGAATTTTTTTAGTTCAAATAGAAGGAAAGATGCCCTTGCACTATGATGTTTTTGTCAAGTGCATCAGTCAGAACTGACTAATTTCATCCATAACATGAAAACAGACACAGTCGTCGACTATGCAAATTGTAGTTGAATTTGAACTCCAAATTGAAATGTATTCAAAATTCGAGTAAAATTGGTCATAGCCGAAGCGCGTCACGAGTCAGACTCGTCAAAATAATGTAAGGTGTGCCTTTCTTTTAAAATTAGAAGTACATTGCAAACAAAAGTTTGTAACGAGTTAAACTCTTAACGAATGGTTCCTTCTCAACGAACGAAAGGGTTGAATTTGGCGACAGTCGCTGTTCATCCGATCGTTAGAGAAGACATCGAAACAGAGAGGGTGAAAGTAATTACTCGGTTCGTAGTCGAGTAGCGGAAACTATCGATGGCCATAATCCTGTGGAAAGACTCTCGAGCGAGCGAGAACGAAGTAACGACCAAGTTGGTCGCTAAACATCCCTAATTGCGGCCACACGTTTTTCAGCATGGCCAATCGATCGATACCTTTGAAATCTCTTCGGAAGGATCCTCCGGCCGGTTGTTGCACGCGTTTTCAAGCATACGCCGGCAATTGGCTGGCGCGGCAATTGCCAGCCGAGAACAAAAGAGCCACGTCGGAGTTCGTTATGACAGTTCGTTAGCTCCGTAAATTGCCGGGCCGCCGTTAATGGGCGGTTGCCAATTATCGAACCGATTACTCCGCTGAATTATCCGGCATTCATTCGTTCATTAGTTAACTGCTATTTTCTGCCGCGACACGCGAACACTCGCGAGCCGCTGTAAACTGTTGATAACCGCCGGCAACCTTGCTCGTCCACACGAAAATTACGAGACAAGTTTCGTCGTTAAGGATCCATGGACGATGACCCATTAGACTGTTGCTCCGACGATGTTTCAACGCTTCCACGCAATTGGCCAATGCACTTTTTACGGGATTTTAAAAGGATATTATCCTAGATGTGTAATGATGAGACCCAGCTGGGAACTTGGTCTGCATGGCAGCGGCGAGATGTTCACATAAGAATGGAAATTTGGGACTTGGAAATCTTAGAACTCGTAGATTTTGAAATTGGGGGTTTTAGTGTTGAAAATTTGGGTACATAAAAATTTAGACACACAATTTTTTTTTTTTAATTGAATGTTTAAGGTCACATGCACCTTCTTAGGTTATTAGTGACCACATTTGATTTGGGAGTATGTGATAAACGTATTAATATTACATTTCATAATAAAAACCGATATCTATCAAAAAGGTAAGAATTTTCCTGCACTTTACATTTTGTAGCATACTTGCTACGTTTGAGATGTTATACTGCTCCCTTTTAGTGCGATACTTAGGGCACTGAATTAGAACGTGATCAATGGAAATTTGTGCATTGCACACCTCACAGATTTTTGGGTTTGAAATCAGAAATGAATTTTAATTTGGTGTGGCCAATTCTTAATCTAGTTAGTACCACTTGATCTTTTCGGTTCATAAATATTGCCGGGCTAGTATCGTATATATTATTTTGCGTAAAGCTGTAGACACACAATTATTTAGAAAAGGGATGTCAGAATTTGGGAACCAGTAAATGTCAAGATTTGGCAGTTCGGTAATTCGGAAATGACTGTAAACGCAAGGAAAAAATTGCCTGGCCCCGATCAGGAGGTAGAGAAATATTGTTTCAAGGTTTCTCGAACGCAAAAGTAACATCGGGTGGCAATGGTGGCGCAGAAGAGAAATAATTTACCCCAGGGGCGTGTTCGTTCCAAAGAAGTCGTACTCGCCTCGTAAATTCGGCCCGACGCATACCACGCCGTCTTCTTCCAACCCTGTTTTCCCCGAGCTTGAAAAGCTCGCCTGCCTGGCCGACCTGGGAAAACAACTTCATAATTTTCAGGGACCTTTCTGATTTGGCATGTTTAACTCACTGGAATTCGGAGTAGGGGAGAATTACTTCAGTTTTTTATTGGCTACGGCTCCTCTCTCTGATATCTTTTTCGATATATCATGAAATAAAGTACTTTTTAAATCGCGTTTCGCTATTTTAGTCTTATCTCGGAACTTCGTTGCAATTACGTCTCTGGTATTTTAAACCGACAGCTATTAGACAGGTTGCGGAATTAATAATGCACAAGGATGATATATTCATGTAATCACTAAAATAACATGTGTTTTTTAAGAAAAATAAAAATGTGCTATGAATAATTTCTTTTCTAATTTAACAGGTCAGATGTGCGATGAATAATTTCTTTCTTAATTACCAGGTTAATAGACATGCTATGAATAATTTTCTTAATTAGCAGAACAATATGTACCATGAATAATTGACTCGCTAAAAATAATATTCTCGACTTCATTATAAAATAACAAGGGTTCAAAGGTTCCAGCGAAGATTGATCAAAAATAGAACATAGATGATTAACCCCTTGCCGTGCCATTTATTTATGAGGTGCGTCAGTCAAGACTAACCATTCAGGACTATAACATTAAAACGAACAAAGAAAATTAAAATGTTCTAAGTATTTTATATTCAGGGATCCTTGACAACGCAAATTATAGTTGGATCTAAAATTCAAGTTGAAGAGTATTCAAAATTTGAGTAATATTAATCACATTGGAGTTGTGAGTGCGTCACGAGTGAGACTCGTCAAAGCACGGGAAGGGGTTAATAATCAATTTCAGGTTATCCTGTGTAGAATATTCTTTCGAAGAAGGAACGTGAAGAGTGCAAATTCGAAAGTAACAAACAGCTGGAAGATGTTAAGAAGAAAGAATCGACAGGGTAGCGCGGGAAAAACTCGGCACGAAGTTAAGCCGATTCGCAAGCGATTCGAGGCGAGGGATTCGAGCCGAAGCTCTGCGATTCTCGCACGCGTCCTGAATTTAAACGCGAAATCGACTTGCGAGAGGCGCGAACGAGAGCAGTCGATGCTGTTCGACGGAATTTCCAGCGTCCAGGATTTCACGTGTTGTTTCTGTCGGGTATTATGAGGGAAGCCCGTGTTGTTTCTTCGTCCGTGGAAAAAGTTCCTCGTAAAAATAAAGCTTCCGAAGGCGGCCTTAAGCCTCCCACGCGACATTCCGCTTCCTCCTTTTCTACGAATCCCTTCCTTTCCACGAATATCCAATCACAATGATCGACACTTATAACCATAACGTTCAACGTTACTTTAACCCTTAAATGCATGATTTTCTAATTTTACCAAAAGTAATCAACTAACAAAATACCTTGAAAGCGGTTGATTGA